GAAGCAATTAGCCACTAATTTGGCCTTATAAGGACTCAATTGAGATAAAAAAAAGTTTGAGGATTAAAACAAATAAAAAAATCTTCAATGATTCAATCCATAGTAAAATATGAGAGAGTGGAAAATAAATTTAGTTACAATACTTTACCAACACATTTGTTCATAGCATTATTATTTCTATAATTCTTTGTTTAAAAAAGTCATTATTATAAAGAAATTGATGAGAATTACACGTAAAAAATAAATAAATTTAAGGTCAGAACATATTCTCTATACAATGCTAGCTAGCCCTCTCTGTACCTTAACTTAAATAAAATTTGATGAGAGAAAATCACTAGATTCCGATGTAGAAAGATAAAGTTGTTAGTTGATACTAATTTTTACCACCAAAATAGTAGTTCTTGATTTCAATGTGTTTTATTAGATAAGAAGAGTTTCAATGAGATGTTACTTGGTATTTAAATTGTCTAAGAAAATATATCTAACTTCAAGAAGTTTTTGGGTTTTAGGTTGGTTTTTTAAAACCATTTTTTTGGGTTGTTTGAATGCATAAATGTGTTTTCAGTCTATATAGTGTTTTAGGGTCAAAATATGGTTGAAAGTTAGATTTTTAGGTGCAAATCACACTGACTTTTCAACAATATTTGGTCAATGGAATTTGTGCAAAACAAGTGACGCGTTGTAGTAATTTTGGATCGAAAGCTAATAAAGAAGGGTTACAGAGCTGTCACAATAGAACTGATGTATTGCTTTAATCTATTTAATGAAAACATCACATGAAAAGATTTCTAAAAGCTTGGTAAACAGTATCCAAGCTTCTGTCAAGATTCACAAACCATTTCCAGGCTTTTATCTATATTCTTAAGGGTAAGAATCATTTTAAAAAGGGGAAATGGTTACTAGTTTTTAATAAAATAAGGATGGAGATTTAAACATGTGCATAATATTAAAAACATGTAAAGATAATAGTTATAACAAACTGGATAATTTGATCATATGTGATTAGTTAGTATTAGAAAATAATATAAATCATATCTTAGGGCTTTATATAACAGTTTAACCTATTAAGTTGAGATGGTTATTTGATATGGTATCAAAGCATTGATGACCAAGCAATCACGAGTTCAAATCTCAACATCCCTATTTATTTGATAAAAAATAAGCATAAAGAATGTGAGTCTATGCAAGTTTCAAGTCCAAATGACTTTCACTTGAGGAGATGTGTTAGAGAATAATATAAATTATATCTTGAAACCTTATCTAATAGCTTAAGCTTTTAAGTTGAGATGATTCTTTGACATGTTAGAGAATAATATAAATCATATCTTGGGACCTTATCAAACAGCTTAAGCTTTTAGGTTGAGATGATTCTTTGACATGGTATCAAAGCCTTGATGACCAAGCGGTCATGAGTTCGAATCTCATCATCCCTATTTATTTGGTAAAAATTAAACGCGGGCCTATACAAGTTTCAAGTCCAAAGGGCTTTCACTTAAAGGGGTGTATTAGAGAATAATATAAATTATATCTTGAAACCTTATTTAATAGCTTAAGCTTTTAAGGCAATTAATAGTCAGTAGTTAATCACCTAACAGTTTAAGTTATTGGGTTGAGTTGTTAAGGCAATTAATAGTCAGTAGTTAGAATAAAATAGTTAGAATGATTGTAATAAAAAGGAAAACACTAGAATATAAGTTGGTATATCAGAAATGTAATGGGTAAGAAATAACAATAATAAATTCAATCATTCTTCTTTTCTTTACTTTTCTGCCATTTTTTTTTCTAATCCCGTAACTCTTCTCTTGCTAAGCTGATAACTTAACATTCATAATTTTTAGATAGCTCTCGCTTGCTTTTACTTCAAATTTTATTGGCTTTTTTTTGGATAACTCTCGCTTTCATCATTTAAACCTTCTTAATTGTTTTTGCTAAATATCTTCCCCTATGAATAGCAAAAACATTGATTAAGGTCGTAATTAGAAATTTATAGGTAGATTTGATGCTTCTCTAACCAGGATTTTATATTCTCCAGATTTTTTTGTTAACACATATAATCACCAAGAACAAGAGGAGCAAAAGGTGTTAGTAGAGTTTTAAAATTCGAACTTGAGTGGAATTACATTCGTCAACTGTCTCCTATAAGTATTGCCCCCTCAACTTGTGGATAACCTAAGAGCATAACAAGTATGTGAAAAGGATAAGCAAACACAAACTTTTCCTTTTTCCTAGTGTTTTGTAGTTGTTTAATGAATAAAAGCATAATAATCTTCCCTTTTTTAATAGAATCACAATTATTTGCTTTGCTTTCTCATTTCTAAAATCCTTTTGCAACCTATTAGGGCCATATGGAAGAAAATTATCACCATCCTAAGTTTGATCTCAACCCTTAACATTGAGTGATAATTATCTACTTTCGAGTAACATGTCCAAACCCACAAGACAAATAACATATAATATCTTGTATTGTTTTGTTTGGACTTGATATTTATACATGTTGGCTTACAAGCTTAACTATATATATAAAAAAATCTTATAGCTTTCTCTTTATGTAACCTTAAAGATTGTATATTACAGCAGTACATGGTGCCTCAAAATCCTGAAATGTAAGATGTGTTCTCTCGATAAAAATCAAGCACACCTTATGAATCTAACTAATGGTGTTTAAATTATTGCTGCACAGTTTTCATTGCTTATTGTTAGGTCCATAACCAAGAAGCTGCCTAAATTATTCTAAATGTTACATTAAACTCTAAAATAAGACCTATACAGCTAGCTCATTGAATAAAATAATTGATGTGCATGCATTGAAACTTGAAAATGACTTTTTTGCTTTAGTTTAATCCCAACTTTTAGGTTTTATACATAACATAGAGCTCTTCTAATTGCCTTGTTAATGAATCTGAAAGCCTAGTGATAAAAGGCCACACAAGAATGAACAAAAGTTTGAAATGTTTAACTGAATGAATTTTATAGAGTTGTTGTAGGATGTGTTTGAAATTGTTGAAAATGTTTTTCGTTTAAAAATATATCAAAATAAAATTTTATTTTAAGTAAAAAAAATTTAAAATTTAAATGAATGTAATTTGCATCGCATTCTCAAATACATCTTTAATAACCGCGTTCACAAACATTTTTAATATTTATTATTTTATCATTGTAAATGTAAAACTTGTCAAACTTCAACGCTTACAAATTTGAAGAAGGGAATGGAACTTTAAAATACTGCTTTGAACTTTGTATCAAATTAGAAACAATAAAGCTCTTGTCTACTATAGCAGTACTTATTAGTTATAGGAAATCCAATAATTACTGATCGATGAAGAAAAAAGATTTATTTGAATGAAAATAACTAGATAAAAAAAACCTATTCTGAGCATAACTGCAACAAGGATCCCTGAAAAAGGAACCCTTAAACCTTATAGATAGAATATTTTAAAGTTATTTGGTTTATTAATCACAGTGAAAAAAGAAACTTTTTGGGTGTGTTAAGACCATGTTTCTTTAAAATTTTAATTTTTTATTTATTTTTTATATTTTTAGATTGTTTTGATATAATAATATTAAAAATAATTTTTAAAAATAAAAAATATTATTTAATATATTTTTAAATAAAAATACGTTGTGTAACACAACAATCGTTACTATATTTTTGAACAGCTAAACTCCAAACAGTGAGTTTTCCTGCATGTCGAAGCATTTAAAATTGAATTATTTAGGGCATGTTAAAGTATCTTTACGTTGAACATACTAGACCCATAAGATAAATTGAGTTGAATCTTCAATTACTCCTCCTAGTTTTTAGTAGCTAGACTCGACAATCTATCATTCTAAGGCTCCATCATCATCGTCATAATGTAATTGAATATACATTTTTAAATATGTTTAAATTAACCAAAAAAAATATTAAACTTATTATGTTTTGATGATTTTGATATTACCATATAAAACTTTCGCATTTTTATTACTTACTAAAAACGAAAATGTATCATATTCTCACAGCTGGTATTGGAAGAATTGGCTGGCACTACAACATAAATGCATCGACAAGCACATTATTTTGACCATATCAAATCTATAGATTTCAACAAAAAAATAAATAAAAAAATAATCCATTTCTACAAACTTAGATGTTGAAGCAATAGATTTGGTCTGCAACCAATTCAATTCTTAAGAAATATTTATATTTCCAGTTCATTTATTTTTGTGTTTTAAAAATATTTTTTAAAAAAATTAAATTTTTTATAATTTTTCTTTACTTCAAATTATTATTATTTTGATATTTTTATATCATTTTAATGTGTTAATATCAAAAAATATTTTTTAAACAATAAAAAAAATATTATTTTAATAAATTTTCAAATAAAAAATACTTTAAAAAACAATTATAATTATACTTTCAGACACCCCTTTAATATAGTAAATGGGTGGATTTTTCTTTGTTACAAGTATAAATATTAAAACTTTAGCTTATAATCAAGATAGAAGAACAAGGCACCCTTTGAAATGTAGAGATGTAGATGTCTCACAGGAGCTTGACATTTTCTTTTGGAGCTGGAGTGAGTCAGATTGGATTAAAAGCAATCAATTTTTGAGTTAGATTAGCTTAAAAAGAATTTACGAGGACCAAGCATATCCAATCATGGCCTCCGAGGCATGACCGAATGTGCTTGTCGGTTTTTAAAAATTTCTTTAAAATCCAAAATTGACGCCATATCCAAGACTTGGAAGTGAATACAACTTAAATGATACCAGAGCCCACCAATCACCCAGACCAAGAATTTAAGTATTAACATAGTAGCCCATCTCTTGTTTCGGGCCTAGTGAGTGTGTGTCTTCCACTAGATTTTTCATTCAGGAGAACAGGCTCACTGGACCAGAGAGAGCCCATGTTTCTAACGATGACAGGCTCTTACAGACTGTCTTAACCAAACTAACTCCCTATTGGACAGGACAGAACAAAACAAAAGCATAATTAGATTATTAGACTTTTAAATGTAATTGAAAATCTTTTACTATTTCCTTACAAATCTGTGGGTTGGAGGCAGGTTGTGACACGACAGGCGTTGAATGATGAAGTTGCCTTTTTGAAATGAAGGGTGTCTTACTATTAGAAGGATTTATCGTTTAGTATTATATTCACTAAAAAATCTATAATTAGAAGAATCTAGATAAAAAAATTAGCTGTCACTCCTAGCTCACTCTACTTAAAGCTTAAGCTGTCTGTCATTTCATTCTTGTTCTATTTAGGTTTTGTTTAAAAAAAAAAAATCACAAATCCTCTGTTTTCTTTTCATCAGATCATCAAAAAAACATCTAGGTAAATCTATCTCCCCCTTTTCTCACATTAGTTTCCATTTTATATGCTTATTATTTTTATTAGTTATTATATGTACTTTTGAAGTTTTTCTCTCCATATTTTGAATTATCCTTTTATCTATAAGAACCCTGCCAGTGTGCGAGCGCTTCTGTTTTTGGGTTAGGGGTTGTAGGTTCCTTTTAGTGGGTTTTGGCCATGTGGGTAGTTATTACTTCGTCATTCTTTGACTCTTTTAATGGGTTTTAATAGATTTGATCATTAACTAATAGATTCATTATAGTAGTTTATATAGGGATTTTTCTTGTCAGTTTTTAAATGGCTAGATTGATTCTTCCATGCAAAAGTTCCTGTCTTGCAAAGACCAGTCTCTTGGGTTTGATCTCCTCTGCTCCTGTGATTACTCTCATCCTATTTTCTCGTTGATTTTTATATGCATACATGTTTTTTATTTGTTGGTGTTAATTATTTAATGAATAGCTTTGATTGGCTGTTGGGACTCTCTTATGTTGTGTTGCAATGAATTATTAGCACCCAGAAGGAGCATGAAGGCTATTGATTTCTGTTGCTATAATTTGCACTAGCTTTATTAACGGTGCCACATCCTTAAAAGGATTTGTTTCCACCAGTAAGGTGTTACCTGTGTTGTTTTAAGTTCATTGTTCTATATGATTTTGAGATTTAGCTTCTTGGGTGGTTACTTTCTCTTTTACTCATTTATTCTTGTTTTGAACATTGTTGGTGATCATGTAGTAGATTTTTTGTTGTTTGTTTATGTATCTTTTAATCCATTCATTTATTTCCTGCAGCTTCGAGCTACCGGCAGACCTAGTTGCTTTCGGAGTTCGGCAAGAAATATCTCGAAATACAGAGGATTCCTCAGTTCTGAGGTTTGCATACTTTTTCCACGTGTGACCTTGAAAATCTGAACGCAAGTTTTTCTATGATTATTTTGGCTTCAACTCATCGTTGTATTCCAAGTTCTGCCAATTGTCCTGATAAAATTGTTAACTAGGTTGCCTTTCAAAGGAAGTGCCAGTTTTCGTACCCAGCATTATATGTAAGTTATAATTCCTTGGTTTCATCATGTCTGTCTAAATACATCTTGCCTGAGCATGCGCGCACCATATCCACACACACTGCACTCATGCCCGATAAAGTGTCATGGAAAATTGTGTATTTTTTCCGTGATTGATTTGTTTTGCTTGGTGTTTCATGCATGTATATGACCTTATTGTGCATTCCTTGACATATTTTCAGAGAGATAAGCAACACAGAAGGAGGCTAATTTGTGCAGTCGCCACAGAACCATTACCCAAGCAAGTTGAAGAATCCAAAATGGACGCACCAAAAGAAATCTTTCTCAAGGCTTACAAGTTGCCTGACTACTACTTTGATTCGGTATGCAAAAACTTAGTCGGGTTTGGAATATAGACATCTAGGACCCTGATTTTCTTTCTTTGGCTTTCACTTATCCTCATGTACTTGTATCCTTATCTTAGGTGGATTTGACATTTTTGCTGGGTGATGAGAAAACAATTGTTAGTTCAAAAATAACTGTTTTACCCAGAGTTGAAGGTAACTACGAAGGCCATTCTTTGCTCATAGAATTTGATCAGATGTCTGTAGGAAATTTGCAAATGCTGTTCTTACAATGGCAGTTCATACCATAGCACTGGCTAATCGAACACTATTGTTGAATAGGTTCTTCTTCTCCGCTAGTTTTGGATGGAGCAGACCTGAAGCTGCTTTCAGTTAAAGTCAATGGTGAGGAACTGAAGGTATGTATATTTCACTCTTCCAGATGTTAGCTTAGCTTGTGAATTTTTCCACTTAACTATTTTGGAAAGCTTTTTTGCCTTTTCGATCCTGATATTTGTCTACACTTTCCTATAGGAGGGTTTAATAATGTTATACCTTTTCCTTTTTTGGCATTTTATCAGTCCAAGGATGCTCACACCCAATTAGAACATTTGCCATTTTGTGATGATTGGCACTTTATTCCTTTTATTTCCTCATCTCTCGCACTGTTATTTCTGTTTTTCCTCTTCTTTCTCTCTTCTTTCCTTTTTTGGGGCGGGGAGGGTTTAAGATAATTTGGTGATGATTTAACCCAGCCTTTTTTTTGCGCTTTTCTTTTTTCCAGAACAGAGATTATCATTTGGAATCACGCCATTTAACAATCCTATCACCACCTTCTGGTAAATTTACATTGGAAATTGTTACTGAGATATATCCCCAGAAGAACACATCATTGGAGGTACAACATATTTTCTCTCGTCCTTTTCACAGATGCTTCTTGTGACTGTTTGCTAGATTTGAAGTTGCACTCTCCTTTTTCTCTTTAGGGACTTTACAAGTCATCTGGGAATTTCTGCACTCAATGTGAAGCAGAGGGTTTCCGCAAAATTACATATTATCAGGTTAATTCAAAGAACCATTTAATTCTATTGATTCATACTGCTATATAAAACTGTAAAATATTTTATTTTAATATGTTAACAGGATCGCCCCGATATAATGGCAAAATACACTGTCCGGATTGAAGCTGATAAATCTTTGTACCCAGTATTGCTATCTAATGGAAATCTCTTGGAACAAGGAGACCTTGAGGTGAATTTACCTGTTATGTAGAATAGCCTCCCCCATCCACAAAAAATAAAAATAAAATTAATCACCCTCGAATGTCTGCTTCTCTGGTTCTGTTGCAGGGTGGTAAGCATTATGTTCTATGGGAGGATCCCTTCAAGAAACCTTGCTATTTGTTTGCATTGGTTGCTGGACAGCTGAAGAGCAGAGATGACATGTTTGTTACCCGTTCTGGTCGAAATGTGTCGCTAAGAATTTGGACCCCTGCACAAGATGTACCCAAGACAGCACATGCCATGTATTCACTTAAAGCAGCAATGAAATGGGATGAGGATGTTAGTATCTTCCTATCTAACCCATTATTTAAAAATAACATCAAACCTAACTTTTGGGTTTTAGTGTTAAAAGTCTTTACCATTTTATCATGTAACTCTGCAAACAGGTTTTTGGTCTTGAATATGACCTAGATCTCTTTAACATTGTTGCTGTCCCTGATTTTAACATGTAAGTTACATTCTTTGTTTAGTAAAACATGCTCATATAATAGCCCTTTATCTTGTTTGATCTGTATAATGGTGACAAATACTGTTCGTTTCATGCACTTAAGCACTCACACTACCTTGTTTCTGATTGATTGTCAGGGGAGCCATGGAGAACAAAAGTTTGAATGTATGTCATCTAACTTTCTCAAGTTCATCATCATTTATATTTGTTTATTTTATCTTCTTATTAACACCAAAAACAAATTGATCTTATCTATATGGATTTCCTTTCGGCAGATTTTCAATTCCAAGCTTGTTTTGGCATCCCCAGAAACTGCTTCAGATGCAGATTATGCTGCTATTCTTGGGGTTATTGGCCATGAGGTTTGTTATGATATAACAGAAGGAGCATATTTTTTCAAAACCTTTCGTATGATTCCGAAGAATGTATTGTTTTGACTTGAATTTTTTCTTGCTTCTATCTGCAGTATTTCCACAACTGGACAGGCAACAGGTTGGCTTAAAGTCCTCCCATTTTTTATCCTGTCTTTACGCCTGTGTTATTGCATTCTATTTTTATATGCAGAGAAATAAGATCTGTGTTGTTGCAGTATGTTTGTAGTGGATTTGTTGTTGTTCTAGTGGTCATGGAGATGAATGTATTTTTTATTGCTTTTGTTTTATTGTGAATTACTGCATGTGTTGAAACTTTAATTAAGTGATATCTGAATAAACGCAGGGTGACTTGTCGTGACTGGTTCCAGCTAAGTTTAAAGGAAGGTCTAACTGTATTTCGTGATCAGGTAGAACTCTTTTCTTTCCTATATAACGAGTGGCAATTTCATAGTCACATCAGTACCTTCTTTATTTATTCTCGAAAATCTTTCAATATTGCTAGGAGTTTTCATCTGATATGGGAAGCCGCACTGTGAAGAGGATCTCTGATGTTTCAAAACTTCGAATTTCTCAGTTCCCACAGGTTCTCTCTTGTCCCTTTTCACAATTTTTGAAGTGATGTCTTAAGTATTAATCTTCAGGTGTTTAAATTACTTTCACAATTATAAGTTGATACATGAGTATGCTTTTTCTATAATTTCACATGGATTCTAATACAACATACTATATGCAAGCACTAACAAAGCTATTTTGTAATCATTCAGGATGCCGGTCCTATGGCTCATCCAGTGCGACCACATTCATATATCAAGGTATGAAATCTAGTTATTTATCAAAGACCTTCTCTGTTAAACTATACGTTTGCTTTAAACTTAATTTTTAGATGTGTACTGTATTCAATGTCACTGCTTTTTTATCCACAGATGGACAACTTCTACACAGGTTAGTTTCTGTTCTGTATGACTTTTTCAGTCAAAGCTTCATGAAACACCTTGTTTTCAAGTGGTTTGGAATTTGATCTTTTAACTTTTTTGATATTTGGCTGTCTTTTGCAATGACGTTGGGTTCATTCTGATATGGGACTTTTCACCGCCAAAAATTTGCAGTGACGGTATGGTTTGGAAATTTGTGGTTGCATCTTTTAATTTTGTTCAGTTTTCCTCCTTTTACGAGGCCAGTTACCTAATTGTTCATCTTTTGGGTTTTCTTTCTTGTTTTTCTTCTTTGCAGGTGTATGAAAAGGTATGAAAGCATTCTCATCTTGTGCATATGTGTGCATGTGTGTGGATAAGGAGCACTTTTGATGCATAAAATTCTTATTTTTGTGTATCAGGGAGCGGAAGTTGTCAGGATGTACAAAACCTTATTAGGGAGTCAAGGTTTCAGAAAGGTAGAAAATGATCCAAACTGATTCTTGTGTGATAATCAGCTATAACATAAAACTGTGCATCCTGGAAAATTTAACCACAATTGTTTTTCATATTTCAGGGCATGGATCTTTATTTTAAAAGACATGATGGTCAAGCTGTGACATGTGAAGATTTTTTTGCTGCCATGCGAGATGCAAACGATGCAGATTTTGCTAATTTCTTACAATGGTATAGACCTGTCTTTTATTTTCTCTGAATTACCCTCTTTTTTTTTATGCTTACCTTGGAATGTAATAAAATTACAGGTACTCCCAAGCTGGTACACCTCTGGTGAAAGTTACTTCATCTTATGATGCTGAAGCTCATACTTTCACCTTAAAGTTCAGGTATACATGCTAACTTCCTTGTGAGAGGCATAATCTTCCTTTATTAGTCTTGTAGTATGACTGACAACTCGGAATCTGGATATTCCACAGTCAAGAAGTACCACCAACGCCAGGGCAACCAGTTAAAGAACCCATGTTCATTCCTGTGGTGTTAGGGCTGCTCGACACTAGTGGCAAGGACATGCCACTCTCGTCTGTGTATCATGATGGAGCATTGAAGTCTATTGCAAGTGACAGTCAACCAGCCTATAGTACAATTCTTAGAGTAACCAAGGTAAGAGCACACTGGTGAACCCATGCTTGCTTTATCTTTGCATGTTTTAGTTTCTCCTTGGATATCTTGTTAACTGCAGTTGCTTTCCAATGTCCTATTTTTGATTGTTTTGCCAGATTTTTGGTTAAGCATCAAAATGGTCTTTTCAAATTTTTCTTGGTTGGATATGTGTTGCTAGTTATTCATATGAATTAGTGGTGTTCCTGGATCTACTATAAAGATGTTAGTAGTTGTGGTTGATGTTAGTTAGTAGTTATATGATGCTTTTATTGTGATTTTTATTTATTGAGATTAAAAAGGAAGGAATTTATATCATGCATCACTTTTATTAATAAGAAGTGAATTTACTGCTGATGCTGCACAGAAAGAGGAGGAATTTGTTTTCTCTGATATACTTGAGCGGCCAGTACCTTCTCTATTGCGGGGTTTCAGCGCTCCAATCCGTCTTGAATCTGATCTCTCTGACAGTGATCTGTTTTTCCTCCTTGCTCATGATTCAGACGAATTCAACCGGTTTGTCTATCTCTAAGCATTTGTGCCATTTTTCTTACTTTAAAGTGACTGATGGAAAGTTAGTTTATACTCTTTTTTTTTTTTTTTTTTTTTGCAGATGGGAGGCTGGACAAGTCTTGGGTAGAAAACTGATGCTCAGTTTAGTCGCTGATTTCCAACAAGGGAAACCATTGGTTCTGAACCCAAAGTTTGTGCAAGGGCTAAGAGGCATTCTTTGTGACTCGAACTTGGATGAGGTATGGCCAATGTTTTTTCCTCGTCTTCCTCCTCTTGTTTGTGGGGAGGGAGGAGGTAGAAGATTCATGCACCAGAGTACATAGAAGATGTAATGCACTAATGAGGCTTAATCTTTTTGTTATCCAGGAATTTATTGCAAAGGCAATAACACTACCAGGTGAAGGAGAAATAATGGACATGATGGAAGTTGCAGATCCTGATGCTGTTCATGCTGTTCGAACTTTCATCAGGAAGCAGCTTGCATCTGAACTGAAAGCAGAGTTTTTACGCACAGTATGGCCAGTCACCCTGGGTTTACTTTATTTGTACTTAACGTCTCCACTTCTTGGTTAATCACTTTGGGTGAATGAATTTGTCATGCTTCACAGGTCGAAAACAATAGGAGCTCAGAAGAGTATGTGTTTAACCATCCTAACATGGCTAGGCGTGCTCTAAAGAATATTGCCCTTGGTCTGTGTTTCTTGGCATCATGGTATTTAAAGTTTCTAGATTATAGTAACTAATTTAATTAGTTACACCTGTCTTTTCCACCATCTGCAGCATATCTTGCATCACTTGAAGACCAGGAGTTAACTGAGCTTGCATTGCATGAGTACAAAACTGCCACAAATATGACCGATCAACTTGCAGCTTTGGCAGCCATAGCCCAAAATCCTGGGAAAACTTGTGATGAAGTACTTGCTGACTTCTACACCAAGTGGCAGGATGAATTTTTGGTGAGTCTTTTGCTGAGAGCAATTCATTTTACTTGTTTTGTCGTGCCCTGTTTCACCGAGGACAAGTATATTTGGAAAACAATGACTTCCATGAGGCTATTATATTATTGAAGGCCATTTCAAGGAACAGAGCATTGTAGTAATTTTGTTGTCTCTTGTTGGATAATATGTTCTCTCTTTCTGTTAGGTTGTGAATAAATGGTTTGCCCTTCAAGCCATGTCTGATGTTCCTGGTAATGTTGAGAATGTTCGGAACCTCTTGAATCATCCAGCATTTGATCTGCGCAATCCAAACAAGGTATGCAATCATCAATAACTGTTTATGTTTGTTTGTGTGTGCACCTTCATGTGTCAATTCCGAAGTTTTGATCGAAATTGAACCCTTGGTGTGATATGCAGGTATACTCACTCATTGGAGGATTCTGCAGCTCTCCCGTGAATTTCCATGCCAAGGACGGGTCAGGCTACAAGTTCTTGGGGGAGATTGTGGTGCAACTGGACAAAATTAATCCTCAGGTTTGTTTCTATATTACATCCATGGAGTAGGAAGTAAATTGTCGTTATCATTATGCACATGGGTCATCTGTAGTTGCTTGTTCAATAACTTCCGTGGATTTCAGGTGGCATCCCGCATGGTATCAGCCTTCTCAAGATGGAAACGCTATGATGAAACCCGGCAAAACCTTGCCAAGGTAAGTAGCTGGTGCCATTTTTTCTGTGGTTGGAATAACCATCCAAAAGCATTGATGTTGCATACATCAGATTTACCTTTGAGATTTGTTAGTGGCTGGCATGTTAATTTGTATCCAAATTGGGACGGTTTATTGCAGGCACAGCTGGAGATGATCGTGTCTGCCAATGGACTGTCAGAGAACGTATTTGAGATCGCCTCAAAAAGTTTAGCTGCTTAAATGCCTAAAATTTGCAGGTTGCAGTTGTTTGCCATCAGTGCTTGCGACGGTGATGTGGGACAATAAGTGTGTTTGGCACATTTGCAAGATCACCATGATAAGCATGCTGTCCTCATTATGTCCCTTACATGGAAGAGACAGGATTCTGTAACTTTCAATACATCTTTGCATGGAATATTTCGCAAAATAATACCGTGATGATGCTTTTATCTTCTTGGTTGGGTGAACTACAATGGTACTCTACTGTCTGTAGTACTAGTATACATCTAGCTAGGGATTAGTCGAGATATTAGCATGGAATATTTCGAGTACCAACCTCCGAGACGCTTCATCTACCACGTGTCCAATAATAACGAATCTAAACCTGGATCTAATCCCCTTGCCTGATCATATTTACTAGCATCTTCATTCATAAACACGTATCTAATCCGAGGAGGAAGGCTTGTGAAAGGAAAGGCATCATGTGGCCAAGCTTATCGGCTAATACATGCCTAACCTTTTACTCGTCTTCTATTTGCCTGCAATAATAAGCATGCATAAATGAACTGTTAAAGTGGCAAGAGGGATTTGCTCGAGGATATTCGGACCTAGGGTTCAACTCTCAACGTTATTTATAATACTATCCCTGTTCGAATGCTCGAAAACTTATTTTCATGTGAAAGCATTAATGTTATTGTTAAAATTCGATCTAAGAGGGATTCAGTCTTGACGTGTAAGAAATTATTGTAGAATAACTTAATCGATATTCCTCGAGATGTCTCATTTCTCGTGTAATTTATTGGATAAGTGGAATCCATGATTTGATGATTTTTTTCTTCTTATGGTGAAATGGAAAATTTTTTTGGTCAAAATAAGGTTACTAGATCTTCTTGTCATATTCATATGCCATGACGTTCCACCGCGCCATTCTTGACCGTTGTTGAAGATGAGCTGCAGATTATAGGTCAATGCACTTCATCACTATGGTTAAGATTTACACAATTTAATTTACCATGGATCTTATTGAGAGCCCCTGCTTTATCCCTTAGGCACATGCAAGATGTGGGCCCTTTGACATGTATCAATTGTTTAACCCGCCACGTAAGGGTTGAAAACCTCACAAGTTTCCTGGCAAAATTGATAGCGTCTTGAGCTCGAATTAGGTCTCGCTGTTTGCTCAACCTATAATAGGAAAATGGCTCACAGGCCTCTCTTTGGTGAGTTGTGACCACTTAAGAAATTCTTCGAAGGCCACAGGGGTTTGTAGTTATCCCTTCTGTAACTCTGCTGGTTGTTGGAAAATAGATGGGCAAGACGAGGACATTTTTGATAACCTTAGTCCCTCATTCCAACTCTTTGTTGAATCACTAATGGAAACCATAGAGGAAATTGGCTCATAGAGGGAATATATATATTCTGACTTTAGTAAACCTGATTCTAGCTCAATCAAATCTCAAGAGTGAAAGTATATGTATTTGCATTATTATTAGTTGTACCTTTTTATTTTGTTTTTATGGCTAAATGATATCTTCTCACGTCATGATTACAGAATAATGATGATCTAATCATTGGAACCTTTAACCCCTTAATTAATCATCTCCTGTATCTACGCAGACATGCAGTGTATATTTCTCGAAATTAAATGAGTTTTGGGGGGACAAGTAGGGTAAAAGGAAACGACCGATCCTTTTTCTCTTTGGTCAAACAGTTTCAATTTATCAAGCCCGTTTTACCCAGAATCTGGAGGGGAAGAACACGGCGTAATTCTCAACGTCCATACATGCATGAACATAAAAAAAGATAAGCTCTTTAATTAAGCCACCTCCTTTTCTTTTTGCATCATCTAAGGAAACAGAGAAGGAAAGGAGCAAAAAGGTTAAAAAGAGAGGGTAGGACACTACAAGAACAAGTGATGATTTTACCTTGTTTTGATTTATGGATTGACATATGGATGCAATAATTGGAAAACGACAATCCCTGGTTTGATAAAATCGTAAATGAACCACCAGATCGAAAGGGAAATGATCATCATTGCCTCGAATATTATGTATGGTGCAACAAAGTATCACGGCATGCCCTAGTTTTAACTTTTAAGCACACACCAAGATGGGTTACCAAAAAAAGCCTAGCTACTAGAGGCCTGTTGTGTCACCTTTTAGATGCACCAATCATCCTGCTTTCCTTTCTTGAAGGGAATCTTTCACCACTTGCATAAAGATCATGTAGGGGGCAATGACTTTCCTTGCATACAAAACCCTAAGAATCTAGGGCTTTAACGTGTGAAATATCCACGTGAGTGCTGCATATTTTAGTGGACCCTAAAACTAAAAGCTTTAGATGATTAGGCTTTTCTTACCTAAGTAGAAGACTTTTGCCCGCAAAAGGGAAGAACAACTACAAATAACAAGCAACAAAATAACTACTCATTGCCCTACAGTCCGAAATCTAGGATACCTGGTATTCGTATCAGAGTCGTTAATTTTTTGGAGTATACAAGGTCAGTCATTACTAGGCCAATATGCTTGTATTGTTCGAGTCTTTTTTTTTTTTAATCTAATGGTCTTTTTTTTCCATCCTTGATTGGTGGCGGGGCCATGGCAAAATGACTGGGGAGTAATATAAAACTTGAAAGGGTAACAATAAAATAAAATAAGATAAATAGGGCCACATGTGTAATTAGAAAACTTATTAAAGGAGTCTAATTGAAGGAACTTGAATAGAAGGATGAGATTGTATGAGCCTAATTATATAATATCACTTATCAAAACACTATAGGGGTGGGGAGCTTGGCCCCTTCACTGCATACACTTGGTGAGAGAGAGAGAGAGAGAGAAGGGGGGAGGCTTTTTTAGGGCATCGACTTTTCACATTTGAATAAAGGAGTTTGGTGGATGGATAGTGACCAACTGTAGTGAATGTTATTAGGTGTGTGTTAGGTAGGTGGTTAAAATTAATAAAATCTCATGTGCAACTCTCCGGCCTAACCCTATCATGCACCTTAATTCCAAGTAAAATGTTGATGATTAAAAAAGCTCTTTCCCATGCACGATGAAGTAATATATATAGGAGTTTAATCTATAAATGCCAAAAAAAAAAAAAAGAAAAAAAAAGTAATATATATAGGAGTTTAATAAATGTCAATGCTTTTAACACTATTAGATTTTACTAGATAAATAGCACGAGTTATTCTAGTTAAATCAAATCTTGTTAACGTTGAGAAATATCTTGAAATTGTTACTGTTTTTTGGTAAATTTTTTTTTTTAATTGTGTGAGAATCAATCCGGTATGACTTAGTCATCGTAGCAGTTCTAAAAACAACTTGAATAAATAAGTAAAAATATAGTTTAACATAAAATAATTAAGATGAGATTTTTTAATAAACATTGAGTTGAAAACATATTACATTGATTAAAGTCAATCCGGGTTAACCTATCAATCTGCATATTAAGTTATAAGATCGTGATAATCTCATGTAAAGCAAATCAAAATAAATTATAAAATTTAATTTCTAATAAACTCAATGTTGAAAATAAAACTAAAAATAATTAAAAGAAAAACCTAAAAAATGACCTAAAATTAATTAACTCGGGTTAGTCTATCAAACCCGTAACCCGGATCATGAGATCACGATAAGTTAATAGAAAAAATTAAAATAAATTATTAAGCTCAATTCTCAATTAACTCGGTGTTAAAAGATGAAATTTTAAAAAAATGAAAAAAGGCACAAAAAAATAAACCAGGTCAACATGTCAAACCTATGATCCGAGTTATGAGATGGAGATAACCTCATAGAAAGCATATTAAGAAAAATCAAGAAGTCTAATTCTCATTTAACCTAATGTTAAAAGGTAAAATAGAGAAAAAAAGTCAATTAGAAAAGGAGGAAAAAAACTTGAGTCAACTAGTAAACCCGTTAAACCTGCAATCCAAGTCACGAGTTGTTATGACTTCATAAAAAGTAAATTAAAAAAAAATCATGAAGTTCAATTCCCAATAAATTTAATGTTGAAGGACGTAATTAAAATTGAAAAAAAAATTTGAAGGACGTAATTAAAATTGAAAAAAAAAGAGGAAAAAAATTATTCAAGTGTGTTATATGAGGAGGGGTACAATAAAACCTATTTTCTTTTAGTTTTTTGTTAACTAAATTGTTAGCTTGCGCTACGCTGTAACATAAAAAAGACAAAAAAAAATAAAAATAACTTAAAGCCAAGTTGAGCTAATATGTCCAATTCATAACTTAAGTCGTGAGACCAGGAAAACTGCTAAAAAGTAAATTGAAACAAATTATGAAACCTAACTAAAAAGTAAATTGAAACAAATTATGAAACCTAGTTCTATAGTTAATCAAATGTTGAAGAATGAAGTTGAAAAAATATGAATTAAAAAAGGACACAAAATACAACTCGAGTCAACTTAAATTAACCTGTTAAACTCATAATTCAAGTTATGAGATTATGATAACCTTATATAAAACAAACCAGGAAATTAACCTGTAACAACCCAACTTGCCCTGCCACAACAACAATTTGGATCATGAGATAACCTTATGTAAAGTAAATTGAAACAAATTATTAAGTATAATTTTCAATCAATATATTTATGAGCAATGAAATTGAATCCAATAAAAAAAGAAGACAAAAATGACTCTAGTCAATTAAGATTATCCTCCAAAATTTGTGATCATAGTCATGAGATCAAGATAATATAATAGAAATTAAACGAAAACAAATTATGAAACTCAATTCTTAATCAATCTAACGTTAAATGATAAAATTAAAAAAAAATACCAATTAAAAAGAAAAAACCTAAGTCAATTGCGTTAAGTTGTTAAACCCGTAACACAAATCATGAAATTAGAATAATTACATAAAAAATCATAAAGGTAAATGTATCATGTAATATACTAAAAGGGCTCAATGCCCCTGTACTGTTTACATAGACACAAAACACTGTGAATTGAAGCAGTATAATAGCAACCCGGCCCTTGACACAAAAAGTTGCAAAGGCAGCGGGGGAGGAATGACGTTGTCTTTTTGCTGAGGTGTATTTGGCATTAAAAGGTTGGTTGGAAAGAAAATGATTAGCACAAGTTTTGATGGGCCTATAAACCATAGGAAGCGGGCACCTGGTGCTAGCGTTGCTTATGTAAGGACAATTGGCGCTTAGGCTACCCAACCTTTGCACGGGGCAGACCTAAGCGCCACTTGGCCCTTGGGCAATTTCATTGTGCGGT